AGAATGTCTCATCTGTCTCTTCATCCTGGTCTATTTTTATCTTTTCCCTTGTTCTTTCTTTCCCTTCATCTCTGCTGAATGCATGCAGATACTAAGGCTCTCCAAAGCAGAGCAGAAGTCTGGAAATATCCTCTAGGAAAGAAATTCTGAACCAGTTGAAGTATTTCAGGATGACTAATACTATCCCATCAGAAGAAAATTAGTTGTTCTCACTATGTTTGTACCTTCTATGCAACTGATTTTCCGGTATACTTCATGAAGGGCAAAATGGTCGCTTTATTTTGTATTTTACCTGTCTTTTCTATAGGAGTGAAAATGGAAGAATTTCTCCCTCCCGGTGCTAGTCTGAAATGCACAGTTTGTACTTATACTGCAGACTCAGTGATTAACTTTCATCAGCACCTGTTCTCGCATCTTACTCAAGCTGCCTTTAGATGCAATCACTGCCATTTTGGCTTCCAGACTCAGAGGGAGCTACTGCAGCACCAAGAGTTACATGTCTCTGGCAACAAGATTCAGAGAGAAAGTGACATTGAACACTCTCCAAGTGGAAATGAAGAAGGTTTACAGCCAGCAACGGACCTGTTGAGCAGAAATGATGTTCCCCAAAGCCAAAAGACCATGCAGACTAAAGATGCAAGTTCTGATACAGAGCTTGATAAATGTGAAAAAAAGGCTCCACTTTTCCTTCCAAACCAGAGGCCAGAAACGCAACCTGCAACAAATAAGCAGAGTTTTTCATACACTAAAATAAAATCTGAACCATCCAGTCCAAGACTTGCTTCATCGCCAGTTCAGCCTAATATTGGTCCTTCTTTTCCAATGGGACCTTTTCTTTCCCAGTTTGCTTTTCCCCAGGACATCACTGTGGTTCCTCAGGCTTCAGAGATATTAGCCAAAATGTCTGAACTGGTCCATCGAAGACTGAGGCATGGAAGTAGCAATTATCCTCCTGTAATTTACAGTCCTTTGATGCCCAAAGGGGCTACATGTTTTGAGTGTAACATAACATTCAATAATTTGGACAACTACTTGGTACACAAAAAGCATTACTGCAGCAGCCGATGGCAGCAGATGGCAAAGTCACCAGATTTTTCCAGTGTTCCAGAAAAAATGCCAGAAGCTGTAAGTCCCAGTAATGGTCAAAGCTCTATAAGCATCCTGAATGCAGCTCCTCACACCTCAGATCCAGAGAATCAACTTCTGCAGACATCTTGCATAAACTCTTCCAATGTTTTAGATTTGATTGGACCAAACAATAAAAGTCATGAAAAAGACTTTACAGCACAATCTAAGAAGTTGTCATCTGCAAGCAACAGCGATGAGAAGATAAACGGAAAACCTTCTGATGTGAAGAATCCCAATGCTCCTTTAGTAGAAGGGGAGAGTGATCCTAACAAGACCACGTGTGAAGCTTGTAATATTACTTTCAGCAGACATGAAACGTACATGGTCCACAAGCAGTATTACTGTGCCACTCGCCATGATCCCCCACTGAAGAGGTCCGCTTCCAACAAAGTGCCTGCCATGCAGAGAACAATGCGTACCCGGAAGCGAAGGAAGATGTATGAGATGTGCCTACCAGAGCAAGAGCAAAGGCCACCACTAGTTCAACAGCGATTTCTAGAAGTGGCTAATCTTGGCAATCCTTGTACATCTACTCAAGAGTCAACAGAGGGCCTTGGAGAATGTTACCATCCACGATGTGATATCTTCCCAGGAATAGTTTCAAAGCATCTGGAAACATCACTGTCTATTAACAAGTGTGTTCCTGTTTCAAAGTGTGATACTCCCCACTCCACTGTGTCTTGCTTGGAGATGGATGTGCCAATAGATCTGAGTAAAAAATGCTTACCCCCATCAGAGAGGACGTCGACTTCTCCCAAAAGGCTGCTGGACTACCATGAGTGCACCGTATGCAAGATCAGTTTTAACAAGGTAGAGAACTACCTGGCTCACAAGCAGAATTTTTGCCCTGTCACTGCCCATCAGCGTAACGACCTGGGACAACTCGACAGTAAGGTGTTCCAAAACCCAGAAAGTGAAAGAAACAGCCCAGATGTCAGTTATGAAAGAAGCATAATCAAATGTGAGAAAAATGGAAACTCGAAACAGTCCTCTCCTAACGGAAACTTATTTTCCACACACCTAGCAACACTTCAAGGACTAAAAGTCTTTAGTGAAGCAGCCCAGCTTATTGCTACAAAAGAAGAAAACAAACATTTGTTTCTTCCACAATGCCTTTACCCTGGAGCAATAAAGAAAGCTAAAGGAGCAGATCAGCTTTCTCCATATTATGGAATAAAGCCAAGTGATTACATTTCTGGTTCTCTCGTCATTCATAATACTGATTTAGATCAAAGCACAAATACAGAAAGTGAATCTCCTAAAGGCCAGGCACCTTCAAATGGATGTGCTGTGCAGAAGAAAGAGTCTCTTCCGCTATTGCCAAAAAACCGAGGCATGGTAATAGTTAATGGGGGACTAAAACAGGAGGAAAGACCTGCCGTAAACCCGCAACAAGAGAACATTTCCCAGAATCCTACGCATGAAGATGGGCACAAGTCTCCGTCTTGGATCTCCGAGAATCCCTTAACTGCAAATGAAAATGTCTCTCCAGCAATTCCTACAGCAGAGGAACAGTTGTCTAGTATAGCTAAAGGCGTGAATGGTTCTACCCAGGCCCCAACCAGTGGAAAGTATTGCCGACTGTGTGACATCCAGTTCAACAACCTTTCAAACTTTATAACTCATAAGAAGTTTTATTGCTCGTCACATGCAGCAGAACATGTCAAATGAAACAATTGGTCCCCTTTGGTACCTGTGTTTAGCATATTGTTCCATACAGTCTAAAGCAAGCTGTTTGAATTACATCTGGACAATCAGGAGATTTCACTGTCGCTGAGTTGAAGACTTAAAGGTGTAATTTCATTACAGTCCATTAGTAAAGTGTATTATTGGTGCCATTTTCAAAAATATTAATTTATTTTACCAGCAGTATTCATAGCTGTAGTTATGTTATTTTTTATTTAAAAACTTTATATTAAAGTCATTTGTAATGTTATTGTATAGTTATTGTGTAGCACATATGGTTTGCACTGTATAGTAGATTTTAAAGAAAATAGTCACAAACAATACAGAAAAGCATTTTAGAAATAGCTTCAAAAGCACTTGTGTATCCTGATTTTTTTTTCTTATATGCTGTTGCAGATGTATGTATATGCTAAAATATAACTTGCAAAGAAGTTTCAACTATGCTGTAAAGTTCGCCTTAAAATTTCAATTTTTTGAACAATTGGGCTCAGTTTGCACTTTATATTTTAGCAGATACAGTACCTTAGTCATTAGGCTTTGCATTTGTATGTAGCAGTATGTTTCTGTCCACTTTCTTAATCTGAAACGTACGTTAAATGAAGATGGCAATTTTTTTCTTGTATAGTACTTGTATTTTCTTTTGCTGATGCATCTCTGTCTCAATTTTTAAACCTTTGCTGTTAAATGCAATACTTTATAAAGAATGAACAAAATTACTGGAAGCAGTATTGTAAGTAATGAGGTCATATCAATCAGTTTTATCTTTTGAAAGGCACAGTCTAAAACAAAACCCTAAACTCAATGCTGCAATTATGAATCTAATTCATATATAAGATATATTTAAATATAAGAGTAGCAATACTGCAACTGGTGATCACAAAGATAATGTTCTACTTCTGATAGAAATAATTTCTCAACAAATGTTGTTACTATGCATGTATATGGATGGAATAAAATTCCAGATCATTGGAGATGTTTGGCAGTAATTTCTTTAAATTTGTTTTATTTTGTTTTTCAAGGAGGATTTAGAGCTCACAAACTGTAAAGAAGCCCTTAGGAACAGGTTAACATCTTCAATGGAAACAAAGTGTTCAAAGAGAAAATGAGTACAAAGGATGCCTCCACTTCGAGGGAGTCCTTGCTGACAGGTCGCTAACACAACTAAGTCTAAGACAACCCAGTGAACTAAAACTTAGAATGTGAAGGTCTGAAACCAGGAAGGCTGTTCCCTTTACTGAAGGAAGACATACTTCCCTGACAGTACCTCCATATGTCAAAATCAGTGGAACAATCTGCTTCATAACACTTCTGGTATGATTCTTTATGTGTTCAGTGGTCTTATATGAAAAACAATAACCTTCATTTAAATAGAACAGCAGTTTGCTCCACTAATTCAGTGCAGAAATACTATTCAATAATTTATGTCATATTAAAATCTGAACTAATGCAAAATGAATACTTTTCACTTGCAGTTGTTCAGTCTCCTATACACTGTTTCCATTAAAAAAAAAAATTATAAAAGTGACCTATTGATGCATTTTTCATCCTACAAATTTAAAAGCAAAACTATGACCTGAATAGTCACATAAACAGAATCATAGAATAGTTTAGATTGGAAGGGACCTTTAAAGGTCATCTAGTCCAACCCTCCTGCAATGAGCAGGGACATATTCAAGTAGATCAGGTTGCTCAGAGCCCCGTCCAACCTGACCTTCAATGTTTCCAGGGACGGGGTATCTACCAACTCTCTGGCAACCTGTGCCAGTGTTTCACCACCCTCATTGTGAAAAATTTCTTCCTTATGTCTAGTCAAAATCTGCCCTCTTTCAGTTTACAACCATTATCCCTTGTCCTGTTGCAACAGGCCCTGCTAAAATGTCTGTCCCCACCTTTCTTATAGGCCCCCTTTAAGTACTGGAAGGCTGCAAGAAGGTATCCCCAGAGCCTTCTCTTCTGCAGGTTGAACCCCAAGTCTCTCAGCCTGTCCTCACAGCAGAGGTGTTCCATCCCTCTGATTATTTTGGTGGCCTCCTCTGGACCTGCTTCAAAAGGTCCATGTCTTTCCTGTGCTCAGGGCTCCAGAGCTGGATGCAGGACTCCAGGTGGGGTCTCACCAGAGCAGAGCAGAGGGGCACAATCCCCTCCCTCGACCTGCTGGCCACGCTGCTTTGGATGCAGCCCAGGATACGGTTGGCCTTCAGGGCTGCGAGTGCACATTGCTGGCTCATGTCCAGCTTTTCATCCATCAGTACCCCAAGTCCTTCTCAGCAGGGCTGCTCTCCATCCCTTCATCCCCCAGCCTGTACTGATACATAGTTGTATTTAATTTAGTTTTTCTATCAGCCAAAGAAACAACCCAGAACATAATACATAAAAGGATGGTATTTCAGCTAAGCAGCCAGTTGCAGTCTAGCGTAAGAGTACGCAATATCACTCACTGACTTTCAGTGGCCCCATCCCTGTGTACTTGGGAACTGAATTCATCCTCTGTTTGTTTGTAAATGTAGGTACATGTGATCCAGTAGCAAAAATAATAAACACTTCAAAAACCATTATTAACAACTCTGGTAGTTAGCTGGGCTTTAAATACAGAACAAGAGTGCTTAAAATTGTGCTAATTCTCACTCTCAAAAAAGATAACAGGTGTATACATTAATTTCAGTAGGGCCAAAATTAGTCCTATAGCAAATACTTTGGATAATAAGTCTTGTGAAGGAGAAAAAGCGTTACAAACACAGGGAGAATAAAACAGACAAATCGCTTATCAATTAAACATTTATTAGAAAATACCACACCAATATATCTAAGACTCCACAATGTTTAAGATAGATCGTACATTTCGACCTTTTTGGTGGCAAACATTAGTTTGAAGATTATACATCGTACAGAATTGATTTAAAGGACTAGGTGATTACATCTGGGTTGAAATAAGCTAATTCTGAAAGATCTACATGCATAGATGAAAACTTTCAGGTGCAGCTGGTCAGAAAGCCACAGGGGGTGTAATTTACACTTGCTAAGCTTTAGGGGTGTCTTTAGACTGTAAGAAAGTAAAGGAGAATTATCAGGGTCAAAGGGGGTACCTAGCTGAAAAGTGGTGCCGAAAGGAAAAAACCTTATCACAAAACATTTCTGATCTGGAAATGCTGAGGGTACCTGATATATTCCAGAAGTAAATTGAAGCCTGCCATGCTGCATTATGTTCTTCCCACTGGCTAGTCCAATAGCTTTCACACAACAGAATATAGCTGGTAGTGTTTCTTTTTTATAAATCACCTGTTTGGTTGACCGGTCCCATTTTTACAAGTTCAAAACAAGCGCAACCTGTTCATCTGTGGGTACAGTTACTCAATTTTATACACATTTTACACATTTTCCTCACTTCACTGGAGCACCTAGCAACTATGACACGTGCTAAACTCTGAAGTTATACCATCACACTCTCTGAAAGTAAAACTTTACACTAGATAAGTGGGTAGCAAATACAGATTACTGACATTTCATTTCTTATACAGTTTTTAAAACCAGAAAGCATTTAATAAAAATAGCTGCTCACATAGCTGGGCTCAAGAACCATGTTTTCCATAACTTTACATGCTGTTTTCCATTTTTTCACTTTCTTTATTGCACCCATTTTTTAATTTGCTCATTTGAAATAAGAACATAAACACTTTGGCCAGACAGAAACGTCTCCCCTGTCTCTTAAACCAGTTTGCACAATACTGGTCTAATCCCAGCTGGGGGCTTTAAACACATCTATGTTTAAGTCATAAGTACTGTTTACAGGAATAAACTACTTAAACCTGTTCCCTGACCAAGTGATTATTTGTATTTTCTTCAGATTATACCTATGCATTTGTTCAAGGTGATAATACAACAGGTAAACTGCCAATTGCTAAAAACTTCCCTTGAATATAGACTCTTGCCTAGTTCTGCTTTTAGGTTTTTGTAGGTTTATTAATTATTTATCAAATCACCTATGCAAAGAGAGTCCATCCTTAGTGAGTCTTTGACACCTGGAACTCCGCAGGAAGCAGAGCACCTCGGCTAAATGGTTTGGATCCACTAATCCCTGTCAGCTGGAGTCAGTGAATAAATCTTTGGGGCTATTGAGTGGAGATGAATAGCTCAACAAAAGGCATTAAAATATTTCCTGGGTTTATGATACAAAAAATAAAATTGCTCCACATGAAGGCCTAATATTTAGAAGAGACGATTCCTGCCTCACTCCCTGTGTACCGATTGCCTGGTGGGTTTTGTGGTCAACTTTTTGGCTTTTTAAGGAAGATTTCCTTATTCACAAAACATCCCATCCACATGCAGTGCTCAGAATGAATGGTGTGGCCGCATCCCTGCCTGCCTCATTTATTTGTCTGTATCCTAACATTCAGACTTTGAAAGGCTGTTGTGGTTCCCCATTCATATCACGATTTTCACACATTTGTCGTGCAGTCTCTCACGTCGCCATCTGAATTTTTTGCAGGATGGTGATATTTTTCATTGTAACCATAAATCAGGTAGACACACCTAATGCAAGCAGTAAAGGGTATTGCTACAAGCTTCTGTCTGTTTGTCTTGAATTAATTGTAATAACATTAGGATTCTGGTGACATTTTGTCATTGCTACAAATAATCATAAAACTATATCACTGATATTTGCTGTGGATCCACACTGCAAACTCTCCCAGTCTCTCATTTCTACCAGATAACTATTGACTACATTCGTTGTCTAACACTGTCCCCAAGAATGTAGTAGTCGCATCCTAAACACAGTCCGGGTGAATGTATAGGATGATTGCTCCCCTGTATAAGAAATGCAGAAAGAAAAAAAAACTAAAAAAAAAAAGATGTAGAAAATAAAAAAGTAAATCAAAGTCAGAGCCATCATCAAGGTGAGGTGGAGGTGGGCTAATTCATTTTTCTGAAGGTACGTAAGCTATGAACCAGAATCCACTCCACAAAGGTGGAGCTGAGGTGGAGCTCTGAACAGCTTGGAAAACTCAGCTTAAGGAAAATTCCATGGTGAGTGCAAGGGAGAAGGGTGGTGGGGGATAATCTCACTGAGGGGCAAAGAAGACAAGGAAAAAGGGAATCAGCACCGTTAATATCTGGAGCAGGCAGTATGGGTATGCTGATGGCTGCAGAAGGCAGCAGTGACAAAGTGTCAGCACTGCAAAAACAAAACTCTGCACATCCTCGGGGGCCTGTTGAAAGAGGCTAAAATACGGATGAGACAAAATCCTTGGAAGATCACTCCCAAATGCTGAATATTGCCAGTGCAAAGATTCTGGCTTCTGGTGGTCTCCTTTTCCCCAAGGCTGGCAATGAGGAAGAGAACCACAACTCTTCCCACCTTCCAGGTCACCTTCACAGCCGGGACACTGCGCTGCCAGGAACTGTCACCACACAGAAGTGTGTGACCTTACTGTAAATTAGAGATAAGCCAGATACCCAGGCTTCAGCTGTGTTAACCTGTGATCTTGCCTGGTCCTCTCTGAAGGACTCCTCTCTGAAGGTTGTCTCTTCAGACTACATCTGAAGTCTTCCACGTAGGTCGCTGACAGTGCTGTGAATCCAGACCCCTCTGAGACCCCATAGAGCCACAGCAAAATAACTCAAATAATACTGGTGGCATTTGTGTATGGAGTGAAACAGAGCACGGGGCAGGGAGGTGGGCAGGGAATCTGCACTCACATAATTAATCTTCTTCATAGCATGGAGCACAAGATGAACGAGTTGTGGCTGGAAGCATGGGACAAGAGCTTTTGTGCTGAGGTGAAGAGGAAACCATAATTCTGACAATTTCAACCTCTAAATACATGTTTTTCTTACTGTATACACAGACACACATATGTTATATATAAAACATACATAGAGGCAAGCATGTCCAAAAGAGGGAAAGAACCTAAACTAGATTAAGATTAGATCATGAGCAGCTGAATGAGACGATTAGACAAATTCTTTGTTGCAG